GAGAGAGAGAGAGAGAGAAAGAGAGAGAGAGAGAGAGAGAGACGGAGAAGGGGAAAGAGAGAATCCCAAGCAGGCTCTATGCTCAGTGTAGAGCCTGATGCGGGGCTCAGTTCCACCATCCCGGGATCACGGCCTGAGCCGAAATCAAGAGTCAGAAACTCAACTGACTGAGTCACCCAGGCGCCCCGCAGAGCCCACGAGTTTTATGGGAGGGAGTGTGGGGCTCACCGTATTTGGCCTTCTCTCATGGCCTGGGGGATTTTCCCAAAGCAAGCTGACCCGGATAAAGAAATAAAGAGGTCATCCCTGAGGGAAAATCTTCATAAATGAAGATGTCGAAAAGACGGGGTTCCCATTGAGTGGCTGGGGCTGGAAGTGAAAGAGAGTGACAGCACAAAGACCAGCAACTCTGCCAGGGAGGCAGGAAGTACCCGGAATGCACGGCAGCCCCCGGGGTGCAGAGAAATGCCAGCACGCTGCAGGATGTGGGGCCACGGGCCTACGGGCAGCAGCTCTAACTCTGTGGCAATGTCCTCCTTTGCCCAGACACATCCCGAGGGGGCAGAGTCCAGGAGCAGGCCATTTCCTGCTGACCAGGCAGGCACTGCAGTTTTCCGCTGGAAAGGGCAGTACCCACCGGTACTAGGAGGCTGACTCTAGGTGGAAATAGTGATTAATTTCCGCATAATTGTGAACACTGGCGGTGGCATACATCCTTCAAGAGAACGTCTGAGTCTGGGGGCTCCAGGCCTTAGAGGTAGATGTGGAGAATGTAAGCTTCATGAGGGCAGGGGCTTTGTCTCCTTTGTTCTCTGCCGTATTCCCAGTGCCTAGTACAGAGCCCGACACACAGGAGGTTCTAAGCAAGTATCTGTTGGGTGAACGAATCAAAAAGGAAACTTAGATGAGGAAACAGACATAGAAGGGCTCTGACATCAGCTCAGGGCTCCTGTGGGTTTCTGGGCTGTGGGCCAGGAGGTCCATGGCACCAATGGTGCTGGCTGGGAGCTGAGCCCAGAGCCAAGAACCGGGGAGCGCCCACCTGTCTGCAGAGCTTGTGCATCAGGGAGGAAAGGGCCGGAAGGCTGCACTTGGGAGCCGACTCAGCTGAGCCAGGCTGGAGTAGCAGTGAGGGAAGGGCTGGAGAGACAGGTGGAGGCGCAGGTGGGAGACGTCCAGGAAGAGACTGAACAAGGATGTTTAAGCGCTGGCGACTACTGCTGAGAAAGAGTGTTTCAATTTTGCCAGCTTCCCCCGCAAACGCCCTCCTAACTCCCACCCCCCAATTCTTAATCTACCACACCGGTGTCATCTTCCTGTTTGTTATTTCTGCAGTTGTCACTTCAGGCTCCTCGGTGCCCCAGAGCCCCGCCAGGAGACCCATCCACGCTACGGTTCGTCTTGGTGCCATTCATGCGAAAGAGCGCCCACTGGGGAAGATTATGTCTTCCCCGAGGCCATGCTCTTTTTAGTATGCCAAAGTGAGGCCTAGGTTTTGGATTCCCTTTCTACCGAGCTCATGCCCTAAGGCCTGCCAATGAGTCTGGCAGAACGTTGTGCAGGTGGGGCTCCCTCTCATCTCAGCCGTGACTGAGACCTGATTCAGACCAGGAATGCCCCGTCTGGCAAAGCGGTATGTCTGGGCACCTGGGGTCAGAGTCCCCAGCACGCAGAGGAGGAGGGAGCCACCCCGAGCCAGGACATTGTAGGGGGTGGGGAAGGGGAGAGTCCTTGCAGCAGGTCTGGAGATGAGCAGATTGCTAACCTGCGCCCCACAAAGCTCATCTCTGGGGCCACTTCAGAGTCCCCAAGGTGCCCACGGGGACGCTGGTGGCGCCACCAACAAATGATGGCGCTGGCCCCATCAGAGTCAGGATTTGAGGGGTGGTCATGGCAAGGATCTCCTCCGAGGACTGGGGCCCGCCCTCTCCACCTGAGGCACAGCACCTCAGCACACCTGTGAAAGGGCAGACATAACCATACGGGGGGCGGGGGGGGGGTCGTCCTATGCACCTGCTACTTCCTTTAAACAGTGGGGAAGGGCAAAGAAACCACTCTCTTTGGTTAGAGCCAGTGTAGACGCTGGGTCAAAGATTCATACCAAGCTATAAGGCCAAAACATGTGAATTATTTTGTCACCATTAATAATTATGATAATTAAACCCTGAGCACCAGGAGACTTACTTACCGCGTGACAGTGCCCGCAGGGCATATGGAGCACAACAGGTGCTCCAGGAACGTTTGCTGAATGAGTCAAGCACGACGCTCTGCCCTTTACAAGTATTATTTCATTTGATCCACCCCAGGTGGTAGAGGAAATCATCCCCAATTTCTAGAAGAAATGGAGTCAAGACAAGTGAAGTCACTTGTCCGAGATCACATGGCTCACTAGGGCAGTCAGAACCCTCCTCTGGCCCGTGCATGTGGCTAAGTCTTGGACACTTATCCTTCCCCAAACCTGTGTAAGCCAATGGAGGACGCAAAGGCTTGAGCCCCTAGCAGGGGTCTGCCAGTCAACAGCCGAGGGGCAGATGCCCTTTCCCAGTTACACGGGACACACTGATTTCCTGGTCTGTGGACATCCAGCTTGAGGCGGCTGCAGGCAGCAACTTCACGGAGCATTTGTTCCAAAGGCTCCCTGTCACCATGGTAATAACCCAGAAGCCTTTCAGGCTGGCGCTGTGCACGTGGCCTGCATCCATCCCATCTGGGGTGGGAAACTGTCACCATGGAAACAGCTTCCCACACCTTCACAGAGGGCTGCCTGGCAGACAGGGGGTCAGGGTGGAGGGGCTGGGGGAGCCCAGCTGGGAGCAGGACGTACCTTGGCCAAGCTGGCAGTAAAGAGCACACACTCAAAGAGCTGGCCCATCCTCTGGAGGAACTCATCCACGTGGGGCCGCTTCAGCACATACACCTGCAACGGCAGCAAACAGGAGGCTGGTCAGTCATGGCAGCTGCTGGGGTGGCCTGGGCCCAACACCCACGTAGGAAGAATTCCTTAAAAGCGAACTGCTTGCTGTCCCCAGCTCTATGGGTGGGGGGGACACCCCAACTGTACGAGGGCTACACAGTCAGATGCGGCACGTTAGGCCACACACACGCTCCTCAGACCGGGCTCCCGGTCTGAGTCTGGTGCACCCTCCTCTGAAGAGGGAAAGGGAAGCTGACCGCGGTACTGGGGGTCTTAGGGATTTTCAGAACCAGTAAGTAGAAGGGTTGTGCCGTGTTTGTGCGAAACGGCTCCCTCTCTCACCCGTGTTTCTCAGTACGTGCTGTGGGTCAGGCCCTATGTGGACACAGGCTACGGCCCAGGGGCCGTCCATTCAGACGTCCAGGCCCGACCCAGTGTCTGGCAGCTCTGGGACAAGCGGCCACCTCGTACCCTCGACTGGAACACCTCTCTCGCCAGAAAGGCCTGGGGTGGGAGCGCAGGCCCAGCAAAGAGGCGAGAGGTGCCTTCCCTGTCAGTGTGGGAAGCCATCCACTTGACGCCACAAAGGTGACTCTACTTGAGCTCGGTACAGAAATAGACTTTGGGGGACGTGACGCCAGCCCACTCCCAGGGCCCCATCAGGAGGGGCCTCCAGGCAGAGGGGGGCAAAGAAGAGGCCTTCCTGGAGTGGCTGGGTGGCTCCGTGCTCCTGACTGGGGAACCTGAACAAATCTGAGGAGACCAGGGAAATGGGAGACAAGGCAAAACTGGTGAGAGAAGACAGGGAAGGTGGCAGGAGGGAAGAACTAATTAAAACGTGAATAAATTCCGTGTGAAATTAGCCACTTCCCTAAAATAAATCAAACTTATTAAAATTCAATTCAGCTCACATTCACGGAGCCCCAGCTCTGCGCTCAGCCTGAAGAAGTTACAAACATGAACAAAACACAGGCCTTGCCCTTGAAGAGCTCACAGTCTAGAGCAGATACAGATAAGAACAAATCAAAATGAGCATGCACATCCAAGTTGTAGTAGAGAGATAAATTAAGGACAATGAACTCCCCTCTCAAGGGGAAGGAATCACAGAAGGTAACATCTGGCCTGGGCCTTGCAGGATGAACAAGAGTTCACCAGGCGGGTAAGGATGAGAAGCAAGCTTCCAGGCAGAGGAGCGGTAGGAGCATGAGACCTGGCCTGAAAGTACCTGGGTGTGAGAGCAAGGCCAGAGCCCTTCGTGACCAGCCCTTTAGAGACGGGGGATAGACGAAGGGGCTAAAGAGGAAGTGTGAAAGGCAGGTCGGGGGGAGCACATGTGAGGCCGTGAATGGCAGATGTTGCCAGCCGTCTATCCCACGGACTCACAGAGGGGGGACGGGGCTCTGTACCACACGGGGGATGCGTGCATGGCAGAATTCTGCACAGAGCCAGGACTCGGTGGGAAACTTGTGGCCCACTGAAAGACTGGGGTAAGCACGGTCTGTGGCCGCGGGTGGAGTGAAGGGCCAGAGGCCTGGCGGGGGTGCCAGCAGGGCTGTGAGGAGCTGGGAGGCTGGGGGTGGGGCTGGGGCAGGGCTTGTGGCTGCAGTAGCTCCAGGCCCCTGCTTTGTCCATGAGGCTCCTCGGTGCCAGGGAATGGGTGCGGCCTGTGGTCCTCGGTCCCCTTGGGAATGCTGCTTGGAAAGCAAGCTTTGCTACATGCAGAGGGCAGGAGACTGATCTGGGAACTCTGGTGTTGGTGCCTCTGGCAGAGAGGAAGGTCCTGGGCCCGGATGCCGGCGTCCAGGCCCGCGTCCGCGTGCAAGTAACCAAGAATAGGCCCATCGGGACCTGCACAGCCTATCCTGGATTACTTGAACGAGGCCACGGCCTTCGCCAGGGCCTTGGTCCTCCTCTTGGCGCCTGTGGCTTCATTCCCTCAGGAGAGAGGGTTTCTGATCCCACCCCTGGGACCCTGGAGTATCTATCGCCATATGAATCACAGTACAGTCTGGAGGGAGGCTGGGGGAGCCGGGGTGGCTCCTTTGAGAGTGGGCTGGCTGTCGCAGGTCAGGCCCTGAGGGTCATGCTCACAGTTGCAAGGTAAGAAGGAAGGATTAATTTCTCTCCTAATTCTTGCCATGCCAGTGGGCAGCCTCTCCTTTGTCTCCTTATTTTGTAGCAGAAGCCAAGGTAATAAATGAAGCCTTAACTGCTTCTCAGATGCTGAGTTAATTCAGTTGGTGCTTTTGCAAATGTTAAATGCCCAAGTGCCTGTCTTTTGGCTCCCTGCTGGCTTTTAAAAGCATGACATGTGGAGACACTAGAAATAAAGCTGCCTTTCCAAGGGCCAGCTTCCTGGCAAGACCTCCTGCCTGGGAAGGGAAGGGACCAGGGTATCAGGAAAAGAGCCATGGGCCAGGAGGCAAAAGACTGGAAGTCTCATTTTAATTCTTTCCATGATGTGACCTTGAACCAACCCTTTCTCTGGCCGAGCCTCAGTTACCCCATCTGGACAACGACACGGTCGGACCAGCTGATTTCCAAGACATCAACTCTGACACCCTGTCCTCAAGGGCCAAGGAAACTACTGGTGTTGTTAAGGAAAGACATCCTGTTATGGCTCAAGCACCAAGAGAGATTTTCCTTCCTGGGATATAAACACAATCAGGCCAGAGACTCTCCCTTTAAGACCCTGGGTCGACAAGAGGAGGGTCACACCATCCCCGTGGAAAACCTTACAAATCGCCCCTACTCCTCAACTTCCAAGGCTAGGAGTTTTCCCACAGTGTTCCAGTATGTTCATAAATGAAGCTATTCCTGGAGAAGCTTCATGCAGATAAGGGGAAAAAAAACCATCAGAACAAAGACGCGTGCCAATTAACTAGGGCATCTTTATTCAAAGTTGTCTCCTGATCCAAAAACACACATCCTTTTGGTTGGGATTTTGCTAAAGATCCACTGGAGAACATGATGTAGGAGTGACAAGATCAGTCTAGAGTGGCAGGTATTGGAAATTGACACCTCTTCCCAACATCCCACCATAAGTGGGTACTTGTGGCATTTTCCTTTTGCCTGCTAGGAGAGTAGCCGAAAGCCATTACATGAGGAAGTTAATTAGACCATCAAGCTAGGCCAGTGGGGGATATGGAAACTTCTAAAAGTCTGAATCAAATCAAAGAACTATTCCAACTTGCAACCACATCTACTATCTACAAATGGATTATAGTTTCCCTTATACACTCAATATAAAGTAAATGCATCAGTGAAAAAAAGAAAGCAGGAAATCACTGTATTTATTTTCCAAAGCTTGCTCCCTTTTGATTCAGTAATAAAAGTGTTGATGAAATGGGAATTTAGAATTAAGTTCATAGGAAACGTAATTACCAAAAAATGCTAATTGCAGCTCAGATTTAGCTTTGATTTCTTACCTGATGTATAGTTCCATCGATTTCAACCGGAACAATAAAATCAGCATTACTAATGGGCTAGAGAGAAAAGAAATTATAATTAATATATCCGAAAGAACAAAATAAAATTGGAAACTTTAGAAAGAATAAGGTTTGCCTGGACCAATGTTTTTATTATTGGAAAAAACAGCTAAACATATTTTTTTTAATGTTTATTTATTTTTGAGAGAGGCAGAGAGAGAGCGAGCGAGCAAGCAGGCATGAGCGGGAGAGGAGCAGAGAGAGGGAGACACAGAATTTGAAGCAGGCTTCAGGCTCTGAGCTGTCAGCACAGAGCCCAACGTGGGGCTTGAACCCATGACCCGTGAGATCATGACCTGAACCGAAGTTGGACACTTAACCGACAGCCACCCAGCTGTCACTGGAAAAAAGTTTTAGGTGAAGGATGTTGAAGTATGCTTTGATTCCTTAAAATAAGCACAAGCAGGAAAGCACATTTTTTTCTGTTCTGAATATCGTTAAACTTTCAGCATCTCGGTCCAACCTCTCTATCATCTCCCTGGCCTAAACAACAAAGGTAGGGCAGCCTGGCCAGAGAATGGGGCTCCTCAGAAACTCCAGTTCTCGCCTAGAGCCCTGCCACATGGTGTGGAACCAGGACTGGCCACCAGGGGGAGGAGGTGAGAGCCCAGTGGTCCCAGAGGACTTGCCACTTGGGGGGAAACTGATTTGTATTGGACCCACGGATGTAAGCTGCCCTGTGATGGGCTGCTGGGCAGGAGATGCTGAGCACAGGACACAAAGCAGGGCCACAGACGTGAGGTGAAATCAGAGGCCACAGGCCACGGCCTCGGCTCCTTTCCCTCTGGACCTTCGTTTCTCCTCTCTTCCACAGCTGCGGTAATGGGTCTGATGTGTGCCCATGGCTCCATCTGGTCCTGAGCAGCAGTGATTTCCGCCTTGCCTGGCACCGTCTCCTGCCCTGGGCAGTGGGGAGAGCCGGCCCACCCTGGATTGCTCTGTTCTAAGTAACACAATACCCAGCACAGCCACAAACTTAAGCCTATTTAAAATAAGTCTTTGACAATACTAATGATACTTAAAATGCAAACATGATTATTTCGGCAGTCCTCGTGTGAATCAATACCAGGTTTAACATGAAGTTCTAAATGGAAGTCCGCAAATGAGGTAGCAACTACTCCAATGAACAGGCCCAAGAGACTCAGAACACAAACCCCTGGGACAAATAGGAGAGAGACAGAGGGAAGACAGCACGTGTGCGGTGGCTATTGGGCAGGGGTGCGGACAGGGGTGTGCAGGGCAGAGTCTCTGGTCAGAATCTGAACTGGGGTCTGCTTTTATTAAGCCCATCATCGTACACACATGCATTGTTCTTTGCTAAGTAAACAGAAAATACTAGATCACAGAACCATTGCTAAGCACTCAATAGAGTACCTGAAGCTTAAGATTACAGTTTATTCACTCTTGTGGTTGGAAGGCCAAGGATGAGTTCAGTATTTTATAATTCCACAACCAAAATACAAAATCACGAAGGAAGAAACTCTAACAAGGCATTATTAGATTGCAAAATCATATTCCATAGAGTATATTAAAAGAGAACAACCATTCCCCAGCTCAAATCAAGCCTCAGCCTCGGTTTCTTCTTACGTGCTATGTAAAGGAGGCCATGCCAAGCCATGGTTCTTAACCTGGGTCTAAGAGCCTCTGTGTGAAACAGTTGTATGTTTACAGTTGTATGATCTCAAGAGAGGTCACAGCTTTCAGATTCTCCAAGGCCTCTGAAATGCCCCAGAACATTAAAAACTGTACAATAAAGGCAGTTGCCAGAGGGAAGGTGGGTGGAAGGATGGGTGAAATAGATAAAGGAGATTCAGAGCAACATATCTGGCCTTTGGCTCCCTGAGCAGTGCCATGGCAGTGGGCAAGAATAAGCACCTTGTGAAAGGTGGCAAAAAGGCAGCCACGAAGAAAGTGGTCGAACCATTTTCTAAGAAAGACTGGTAGGATGTGAAAGCACCAGCTACATTTAATATAAGAAATCCTGGAAAAACAGTAGTCACGAGGACTCAAGGAACTGAAATTGCATCTGATGGCCTCCAGGGTCGTGTTTTTGAAGTGAGCCCTGCTCATCTGCGGAATGATAAAGTTGCATTTAGAAAATTCAACCTAATTACTGAGGACGTACAGGGCAAAAACTGCCTAACATCCATGGCATGGATCTTTCCTGTGACAAAGTGTGCTCCATGGTCAAAAAATGGCAGACTATGATTGAAACTCATATTGATGTCAAGACTACTGATGGTTACTTGCTTTGTCTGTTTTGTGTTGGTTTTGCTATTAAAAAAAAAAAAAAGCAACAATCAGATTCAGAAGATCTCTTACACTCAGCACCAACAGGTCCGCCGAGTTCAGAAAAAGATGGTGGAAATCATGACCCGAGAGGTGCAAATGACTTGAAAGAACTGGTCAATAAATTGATTCCGGACAGCATCGGAAAAGACACAGAAAAGGCTTGTCAGTCTATTTATCCGCCCCATGATGTCTTCATTAGAAAACTAAAAATGCTGGGGCACCTGGGTGGCTCAGTCGGTTAAGTGTCTGACTTCAGCTCGGGTCATGATCTCAGGTTTGTGAGTTCGGGCCCCGAGTCGGGCTCCGCGCTGACAGCTCGGAGCCCGGAGACTGCTTCCGATTCTGTGTCTCCCTCTCTCTGCAACCCCTCCCTTGTTCGCACTCTCTCTCTCTCAAAACTAAATATTAAAAAAATTAAAAAAAAAAAAAAAAGAAAAGTAAAAATGCCGAAGAAGCCCAGGTTTGAATTGGAAAAGCTCATGAAGCTTCATGGTTTGAAGGTGGTAGTTCTGGAGAAGTTACCGGGGATGAGACCGGTGCTAACGTTGAATGAGCTGATGGGTAAGAGCCTGTAAGAATCTGTTTAAAATTCAGACATTTAATGGTGACAAATAAAAAATCTCCTTTGTGATGAAAAAGAAAGAGTACATGTATCTTGATGAGCCCTGAGAAACGTATAGAATTGTTGAATCACTGTGTCGTGTACCTGAAACTAATATAACCCTGTATGTTAAGTATATTTGAATAGCGCCCCCCCCCCACCGCCCCTACAATAAAGGATATTCTGCTTGCAAATACAGGCAAGCCAGGGAGGGAAGAAATGAAGAGACGCTGTTCACATCAGCTTCTGTATAATGCTCTTTGAGCAGGCCTTGGAGACATCAGGGGCTGTTAAGGTCCTGCCTTTGGAGTCAGGAAGCCTCCATAGCCTCGGGCAGTCTGGTCAGCATTGCCCACACTCCCAGAGCCTGGGAGGAAGCTGTCCAGGCCGAAATGGCAAATAACCCCTGCTCCAAAGGGCTTTCCTCCAGAGGCCTTTGAAAAGTCCTGAGCAACTTGCCCACAGGGGAGAAAAGGCTTCCAATGCTGTTCAGAGCTGAGCTGGGACATAAGGTCATGGCAACCAGGGGACCAATCCTGGAAGGGCCCTCAGGGTGCTGGGGAATGAGGTGGCACCTCCAGGCCCCAGTGGCCTGTCTCACTGCTAGAGTACGTGTGTTACCTCCTCTATTCTCCCAAAGGACTCACAGACAACCGCCTGGCCCTGTCCTATCAAGGAAGGCTTCTGTTTGGTGAGAAGCAGGCATAAGGAAGGATGTTCCTGACAGAAAGTTCTTCAGGTAAATTTGACGGCTCTTCCAACGTCCCCTGCAATGGTCAAGGAATGACCGGTTCACGTGAGACACCCCCCACGCCCCCCAACCATGGAGGGTGCCTTCATATCTCTCCGCAAAGTAAGGGGTGTCACGGGTTGGGGTACAAGGAGGAATGGGATCAAACTGGCCAGTGATAGTGGAGCAGCTCATCTCCAGAAGCACCCCAAGAAAAATAGGACCAGGACCCTACTTCTTCCTTCCAACACACAGATACCCTATTTTTAAGCTTTTTCATCATTTGCCTCTATCTATCCATCTATCTTCCTTCCTTCCTTCTTCTCTTTCTTTCTTTCTTTCTCTTTCTTTCATCTGTCTCCCTCCCTCTTCTCTTTCTTTTTCTTTCTTTCTTTCTCTCTCCCTCCCTCCTTTCTTTCTCTCTCTCCCTCCCTCACTTTTCTTTCTTTCTTTCTTTCTTTCTTTCTTTCTTTCTT